GTCTACTTTTTATTTGGGTTGTCTATTAATGAGCTGTAAGAGTTCTTTATATATTCTGGTCATAGGTTATATGCATTATAAATACAGTCTGCTGAAGGACTTTTCATTTTCTTAATGATGTCATTTATAGTTCTAAATTTTGATGGAACCTCATTTATCAATTTTTTTCTTTTATACATCATGTTTTTTATATCCTAGGAAATTCTTGCCTACCCTAAATTCATGAACATTTTCCCTTATAATTTCTTAAAGTTTTATACTTTTAGGCTTTCATATTTAGGTTCATAGATCCTTTCAAGTTATTTTTATGTACAGAAAGAGGGTTGAGGTTTTTTATATAGAGATACCAGGTGTTCTAGTGCCATTTGCTGAAAACACTATCTTTTCCTCTGCTCTTGAATTGAGTTTATGTTTTATAAAATATTAACGTTAAATAATCTTTCAAAACTCAGTGGACCATATATGTGTGGTTCTACTTCTAGATTCTCTGTTCTATTCCAATGATCTATGTCTTTCCTTACACCAACACTGCCTTGATTACTGTAGCTTTAGAGGAAGTCTTAAAATTAGGTACTAAATGTCTTTCAACACTGGTTTTTTTCTGTTTACTTTTCTAGGTCCTTTGCACTCCTACATAGCTTTTAAATTTCAATATCCAATGCATTTATAGCAAGTATACATAGACCTGAATTTTTATATATACCTTGTGTTTTCTAACCCTGCTAAATTCAAATACAAGTTCTAGGGGCTCCTAGAGACTTCTTAGTATTTTCTCTGTAGATAATCATTTCCTGTACATATAAAGATTTTACTTCTACCTTGCCAATCCTATGCTATTTGTATCTTTTTATTGCTAGACTATTTTGGTTTGAGCCTGTTTCAAAGTGTAATGGACTGGTAAAGAGTAGGCATATCTGCCCTTGTTTCCCACCTTAGGGAGAAAGCATTGTATCTTCTCCATTCATAGAAAGTGTTTTTGCTGAAAGTATGGAGTACATGTCTTTGATCTGTTGAGAAGGTTCTGTTTTACTTCTAGTCTCCTGATAGCTTTTACCATGAACAGGTGTAGAATTTAGTCCAATACTTTTTCTCCAACTACTGACAGGATCATGTGGCTTTTTCCTTTCCTGTTAAAATGATGACTTATGGGGGTGGAGCTTCCAATGCTGAACCAACACTGCCATCCCTATAATAAAACCACTTTCTACATCCTGCCAGATCTGACTTCTAATAGTTTGTTTTGCTAAACAAATTTCTATCTATGTTCATACTTTTTCTTCTATTATCTTTATCCAGTTTTAGGATTAGCACAATGTTGATTTCTCAAAATGAAGGAAGAAGTGTTCCTTTTTTCTGCATTAAATGCTTGATATAATTTATCAGTTAAAATGTATATGAGCCTGTTGTTTTCAAGCTAGGAATATACTTTAACAGGCGCTATTCAAATTTTCTATTTCCTCAAGAGTTAGTTTCATTAATTTGTCTTCCAAGGTACTTCTTAGAAGTTGTCAAATTTATTTCAAAAAAGATTTTTGTAATATGCTTTCTGTCCTTTAACATTCTAGGGCGAGGGATTTAGCTCAGTGGTTTCGCCGCCTGCTGCGCAAGCGTAAGGACCCGAGTTCGATCCCCGGTACCAAAAATAAAAAATAAAATAAATAAAAATTTAAAAATTCTGTAAAATCTGTGGTAATGTCTCCTAGATCTTGATATTGTAATTTTAAAAATGTATAGTTGATAGTGTAATAGGAAGACAAGGTCTAATGGAGCAAGGGAAGTGGGGGTTAGGGGAAAAGAAAGAAGGGAAAAGAAAAAATATGAGAAAAGGAAAAAAATGGAAACAAAGTCTTTGCAAATAGGAAAGGGTGGAGGGGGTGAAGGGAGGGCAGGGGAAGGGGGAACAATAAGAACCAAGATACTCATGTAATGGTACAAGATCCCAATGATGAATGCAACTGCATTTTATACCTAAAATGTGCCAATAGAGTTAATGGGAAGGAAAAAAATAAAATTAAATGTCTGTTTAAAAAAATCCTAGTTTTTCATGTTTAATATTACAGATTTCTTGATAGATCTCTTCAAAATTAGCAGTTCCCATTATGTTGCTAGTATGCTAAATTTTATGTAAGAATACTGAATTTGAGTCTGTTCTGCAACTATGAAATTATCTATTTTTTAATGTCGCTTCTGCTCCACTATTATAACCAGGCTTTTCTACTGCTTTGCTATTTCTTCTTAGTCTAATCAGTCTCCATTTACTGATTTTTAGCTTCTGCCTGACTGCATTCTCTGTCACTCATTCCCAAAGGAGTGCTCTGTCACTCTGAACAACTCCCCACAAGGCAAATGCACTTGATACAGTTCATCTTGTCCTCAGCCTACAGCCAGCTATTCCCTGGGATCTAAGACAGTTAGCAACTCTGTGGCAGGTGCTATTCCATGAACCTATGAGCTATTGTTGGGGGGATGGGATCACACAGGTGACTATTCAATGGGTTGTGCATATGGCAGGCACTCAAAGTAAAAAAAGAGTTCTATTACAGTGACCAGAATGTCTCCTTTGTTGAAGCCCATAGGGACTCAGTTATTACTCATGATTTGGGTCGTCACTTTTCTAGTCGTTTTCTTATAAGCAAAAAGAAATATGCTTAATGCATAAAGAAAAATGAAGCAATGCCAGGGATGTAGCTCAGTGATGTGCCACACCTGCCTACCAAGTGCAAGATCCTGAGTTCAGTCCCTAGCACCAAAAAAATGAAGTAATGTTTGAAACAACTTACTACAGTGCTTGGCACATGGCAGGCACTAAATGAACAGTCTATTAATGGGCTCTTTCCCCCTTCTTCCCATGTGTCCTACCCAGCATCGTGATGACCACCTGCTCCACCTTCTGTGCCCTGGGCATGATGCCTCTCCTCTTGTTCATCTATTCCAAAGGAATACACTATGGCGACCTGAAGGACAAGGTGCCCTACAAAGGCATCATGGTATCACTGGCCATCGTTCTCATTCCTTGCACAACAGGAATCATCCTCAAATCCAAATGGCCACAGTATGTACCCTATGTCAAAAAGGTAAGGACATGGGGACTCTACTTTGGAAAGCAACATAGGCAGGGAGCAGTAACACCACTTATGAAGGCTGCTTATGTAGTGAAAGGCTCACTTTGGTTGAGACCCCACTGGTTGGGCCACAGTAAGGAAGGTGCATCATGGCAAAAGCACATATTAAAGCAAGTACTCAGAGGGGTGGGAGTGGGCCAGGGTCCCACAGACCTAGAGACTTTCCCCTTAGGGCTCCACCTCCTAACCTACTTCACCTCCCAATAATGCCACCCTGGTGATCAACTCCCATGGACCTGTGGAGGTCACCAATTCAAATTGGTTTAGATTATACATGTTTCCTTATATTATTTAAAGAATTAAAAAACTACTCCTGGTATACCTACTATTTCATGAGATTGTTTTGTCCATGAGAAGAGTTTTGAAAGGTTTGGGGAAAAAAGTAAAAACACTACACAGAACTATAAGGAATAATTATTTTAATAATAAAGTTGTAGTTATGTTCCTACTAGATGCTAGAGTTATGCTATCTATGTATTGTGAGGATTCACTGTCCTCAGAGTGATATTTGCAGAAAGTGAAGTTACACATGAGAGATGTAAAACCCAACAACAGTGTACAGACAGGTATTGGCAGAATGTAAGATTACTGAGAACTGAGGTGGTCAAGGCAACTTTTTGGACGAGATGGGCTTGAGCTAGTCCATGAAAGACAAACTTGGCAAGAAACCAGCAAAGAAGAGAGTATAATACACCTTTCAGCAGTGTAGGACAATGAGGTCCACAGAGGGGCACTGTGATCACACGCAGGGCATCACCCCACTACTGTGCCCTTGAAGAGTCCCAGGCATACAGCTGTGGTACCTTCACTAACTTCACCAACCTTGGAGGTTGGTCAGCCTCATCTCCCAGGGCCAGGACATCATCCTGGTCCTCAGGAAGGGCTTTGTCTCTTGACATCCTAAGGACCTGATCTTAGCTCTGGCCCGGTCTACAGGGCATGCTGCTTGGCAGCAGCTTTGGCTTGGGACAAAGAAACTGCAAAAGTCAGGTTTCCCAATTTGTCTTTTCATATTAACCTTGGTCTTCTCTCCAGCTTTGCTTGAGACCTTTTATTGATTATTCATCCTCTTGCAGCAGTCTCCCCACTCCATCTCACTTCTAAAATATCTCTATTAATTCTCAATGAACAGCACTGACAAAGGTTCTTTTTTTAAAAAAAAAATCTCTTGTTGGGATTTTTTTGTGGGTTCCACCTGCTCAGCCAGGCTTCAGGAAAATTCCCTTATCCCCCTCTGCCAATCCACTTGCTCATAAACACCTCCCACTGCCACCAACCTCTCACAAGTGACTAGCCCTTCAACAACTAGTCTGTTAGTTGAATCACTCTCCTCCTTCTTGGTCTCCCATCCACCCAGCATCTTAAGTAGCTACCTGCTCCACTTTCTTTGCCAAATCCAATGGATTCTCCATGTTTTGACTTTTAGCACAATCTAACATGGATGACCACTGCCTCCTCAAAAGCCTTCTCCCTCATTGGGTGACTAAGCTCTTGCTTTCCTGTTACTTCCCTTCACTTAGTTTCAGACTCCCTTCAAGTTCCTCTGTTAAAAGTTACTTCTATGCATTCAGTGCAGGCTATTTTTCTTACCAGTCTATCTCAAGTCTGCCTTTCCCATGTACAGGATAACGAATACACTGCTGCAAACTATGTGATTGTGCTAGCCCACTTAAGCTTCCTAGGACCTTTGGAACTGAAAAAGAACCAATAATTAGCCTTGATGAAGTTACCTGCTAAAACTGCAGCCACCAGTTACATTCCCTGGTGAAGGTTACACTTAGATACAATTTCAGACTTGCTCCATTTTAAAGACAATTAAAGTAAGATTTTAACGTAGTTGTGCTACGGTTTATTCAAACGTTATGCAGTTAAACATCCATGAGACACTTTCACCATAATCCATCCACCAAGAATGGGGTCCCACCATTTAGCTGACTGAACCACTCCACTTGGCCCTTCCCCATACCTGCTGCTCTGCTCCTGCTGAAAAGCCCTCTTTCCTCTCACAGCTTCCCACTTGTTTTTGTTTTTGTTTTGTTTTTTGGTACCAGGGATCAAACTCAGGACCTTGGGCTTGCGAGGTAGGCAGCAGAAACACTGAGCTAAATCCCCAGCCCTCTCACTTGTCTTTTATTCCCAGATTTTTGTCTTTTAACACTTAACACTGCTCCCGCCTCCCTCTCTATAATTCTGCATAATCTCCCTGAATGAGATCTGATTGATTAGTTCCGTCACTCATCAACCTACGTAGTTCACCTCTGTTGAGCCTCAAAGCATGGACTATGTCATCTCATGCCCTGGCTGCCTGTGCATGGCCACTCATCCCAGCTGTGATGAGGGCAGTGAAGGCAGGTGGTACAAAACATGGTGACCTGTGGAGCAATTACTTGGAGTCATTTGGCTCAGCAGGTGGTTGTCAACATGATACATTTCCAAAGATGCTATCTATCATAGGAAAATCTGGGATGTTAAATCCCTTTCCCTTACCTGTAAGTCATCACAGGAGCCATAATTTAGAGTGGCTCTTAACTGCTTCAACCTCACTCAGAAAGGCTTAGTAAGTCACAAAGTCTTACACACCTTGATTGGCAGAGACCGTTTTCAATCCAGATCCTGCCAGTCTGTGCTCATACCACCACCATGCAGCCCCCCAGTGTGGAAGAACAGGAATGAATGAATGAAAGCCCACAGAGAAAGAGGGCTTCTGGACTCATGGTCAATTCCTGCAGCCTAATGTTCCTAGATTTTCCATAATGCTCTTTCTATGGGAGTAAAAACTATTTTGTCATTGGTAGAAGACAAATCTGAAAGACAGAATGGAAAGGGTAAATAAATTCAAAGTTCAAAGGCAAGCTGGGAAGCTCATTACTTAGTAATCTTTTAATAAAATTTAAATCATTTGGTTACTGATCCTTCTAGTGAAAGTCCCAACTAGTAGTCCCAACTACTTGTCACAGGTTACATTTTATATGATCAGATCACAGCTGCAATATGGACTAAAGCAAATGCAAAGCTGTGCAGTTGAAATTTGAGCAATATAAATGTTAAAGTTTTACTAAGAGCATTGTGAACATACTTAGTGCATTCAATTGTACATTTAAGAATCATTAAAATGGCAAATTTTGTTATGCATTTTACCATTGTTTTTTAAAATGTTACTGGAAACATAAAATGCTAGACATGTAAATGAACTGAAAATGAGCCAACAGATAGCCATTACAAAAAAACATGGTTTCAGAAAAGTTGGCTACGTATTCCTTTCCTCAGATGAAAGAGACAAACAGCCTTGTAAGTGAGCAAACATGTCTTATCATTTTGGAACCTGTCATTCCCCATGTAGTACTCTGAGAAATGCACAGCACATGGAAGTGCACTTTGAAAGCTTGCTCTCGTTATTCATGGGGAAGTTTGAACATTGTAAACTGGAAATTGACCTGTTGAAATTTTTCAACAGTAAGATACAACCATACAGCAAGCAACTTCTAAAGCAAAACACATCACTGCTCTCAATAAATGTTGCTTTCACACAGCACTTCTAGGGGCAAAATGGACCTGCAGTTTCTGATCATGCTAAAGTTACTGAAGACACTGCTGAAACTCCTGCTAGGAAATTCTTTCATAGCCAATTTCAAAGTCACTCAAGAAAGCGGGCTTCTCCCTTTGGTGACACATCATTTGGTGTCTAGTGTATGACCTGACTCAGACAACCTGTTCGTCAGTTTTGTTTCAAATGACTCTTGGTTATTTTTACAAGATAAATTCATGCTAAAAAACAATTAAGTTTGGCCAGGATTTAGCTCAGTGGTGCCACCACCTGCCTCTGAAGTGCAAAGTACTGAGGTTCAATCCCCGGTACAAAAAAAAAAAAAATTAAGTCCTTAGCTATAACAGAGGTTGTACAAGTACGACACATTTTAATGAGATCCAAGAGATATGCAATAATAGTATTGTAAAAAATGTGCATTCTCTAAAATTGACTTTTGGGGGGTAGTGCTATTGAACGAAGGGCTTAACACATACTAGGCAAGCTGTGTACCACCAAGTTATACACCCAGCCTGGCTCTGAAACTTTTAATTCGTAGTTTTGACACAGCAGGCCTGGAGGCCTGAATCTCACTCATTCCCTCAGAACTAGAGCACTTCACTGATAATCTGCTACCTAGTGATATGTTCAAAGTGGCTGAGCTCTGCTGAGCTTTTAGTAATCAAAGTGTTAGTTAATTCTGTCCTGATTAAGAAATTTTTTAAAAAAAGATAAAAGTCTTTCATAGTCCCTTCCACTTCATGTACTAATGTCCTACTAAAATGTTTTATACCTGGGTGTGGCTGCACAAGCCTATAATCTCAACACTCAGGGGAGGCGGATGTAGGAGGATCCCATGTTTGAGCTCAGCCTAGACACTTTAGAACACTTAACTCAAAAAAAAAAAAAAAAGGGTCAGGGGATGTAGCTCAGTATGAAGGGCCCAGGTCCCTCATGTACCCCCAAAAAACATAAAGCATTTTCCACTTCCTGACCTCACCCTCCCTAATTGTTTTCTTTTTTTTTTTTTTTGGTCCTCATGTCCAGGGAGGAATGATCAGTACTTTCCTTATCAGTGTGGCTGTCACGGTCCTGTCTGTCTTAAACGTGGGCAAGAGCATCATGTTTGTCATGACACCACACCTGCTGGCCACCTCTGCCCTGATGCCCCTCATTGGCTTTCTGTTCGGCTACATTCTCTCTGCTCTCTTCTGCCTCAATACACAGTAAGTATTATTTTCCATCCCACTGTCCCATATGCCTCAATCTTACCCTCATCTTTCAGGAAAAAAGACAGAGGAGTCAGAAACCTGAGATGCAGGTAAAGCATATTTTCCTAGCAATATGCTCAAAGGCACTAAGTGAACAAGAACTAATGGGCTAAAGGAGAAAGATAAAGGTATCTAATCGTTCCAAACAGCAAGAAGTTGGCCAAGTCCCTTCCCATCTCTTACCCAATGCTCTGGAAGTTTAAGGCACTGGCATAAGCTTCATGCAATTGCTAATATCCCTTTCTTTCCTTTCTTTCTTTCCCACTTTTCCTCTTCTTCCTAGGCTTTAGTCCTGACAAGGACACCACTGGGTGACAGCTGAGTGGTTCTCCAACCTGGAATACTCAGCTATAGTCCAATTCAACTCAGTAACTATACCGCAACAGTCAATTTAAGGGCACAGTGTGGTAACTTCAAGTACCTAGTCTATACCATTTAGTACAGAACTGTCCTTTTAGCCCTACCAAATGCTTACAAAAGGGTGTATTAGTAGCACCCCCCCCATAAAATGTATTATTTTCAAAATACAATTTAAAAAATAATTCATACTTAACATTAGGCTTTTTTTTTCGAGACAAGGTCTCACTATGTAGCCCAGGCTGGCTTCAAACTCAAGAGATTTTCCTGCTTCAGCCTCCCAAGTGCAGAGATTACAGGCACACACCACCACATCCAGCCAAATCCATGCTAATTTAACAAACAAATTACTATAGATGTAACACTTGAGAGTTAAAGGCTGTCCATCACCAGTAAATGATGTTAGGTTTCACTAGTACAAGGTATTGCAGAGCATGATAAATGGTCATACTAAAGTGTCATAATACTTTTCTTCATGATAAATGTGTTCTAACATCTTTTCCGTTTGAAGACAATTATTTAACACTCTTGGAATTCAATGAACTAAATATGTATTCATTAAATGTAATCATCTCTCTTATAAATGAAAAACAAAACTAGGAAAACATCTTCCAAAGACAGACAATGGAGACCGGGGATTTAGCTCAGTGGTGCGGCCACCTGCCCTGCAAGTGCAAGGTTCTGAGTTCCATCCCTGGTACTGAAAAAAAAGACTATGGAGCGGAATCAAATTTGAGTTTAAGTAAAAGATGTCTAAGCCAGAAACTTCCGAACGGGATGTCCTAGGCGTTTTGAAAGATCTTCAACTGTCTATTGAAGACACAACAGTGCTGTGGGCCCAACATAACAAGCCAGTGGATGATACTGGCTCACATCTTCCTTTCAGCCCTTACCAGCCAGACATTATCTCCAAATTTCAATTTGGTAATTCTATGAAGTCAAATTTAACAAAGTACTCAAAACCTCATGAAAACTTTCTTAATATTCCAATCACCAGCCTCCATGGGGCTGAATTAGTATAAAGTGATAGGTCAATATTGCTTCTTGAGTCCATGTGCCCTCTACAGTCTGGCTCCCTTCCATCTTTACGTGTTGAGTTGCAGTACTTTCTCAGGTCCCTTCTGTGAGTACAAGTTTGTTTTTTTTGAACCTACACAGGTGCAGACGCACTGTCAGCATGGAAACTGGATTCCAAAATGTTCAACTCTGTTCTACCATACTCAATGTGACCTTTAAGCCTGAAGTCATTGGGCCACTTTTTTTCTTTCCTCTCCTCTACTTCATTTTCCAACTTGGAGAGGGATTTCTCTTTATTATCACCTTTCGGTGCTATGAGAAAATCAGGCCCTCCAAGGGTAAGTAGTGCATCATCCCCCCTTCAAATTCTGCTCCCATATTGGACTTGAGCTTGCCAACAAGCCAGATTCTAGCAGGACTTTCCAGACAGGGCTTTAACGCTCATCAGGTCACTAAGAAACAAGCAGCACAGCACCAAGAAATATGGAAGAAACAAGCCAAGGCTAACTCCATTAACTGCCCTCCATTTCTGACCTCTACCTTGGCGGGGGGCGCGGGGGGGGGGGGATTAAACCATGGGTAGAATTTGTCTCAAGGGACTGAGGCAATTTGGGCTAGTGGGGAGACCAAAGACACAGGGCATAACTATTCTGAGAGATAATTCCAAGCTACTGGCTGTGTGAAAAGACTCTACTCAGCATTCAGGAAATGTCTTTCTTTAGGAGGGGATTCTCCTGCCCTGGAACCAGGCCAGAGTCCTGACACCCATGGGAAAAAAATCTATGAAAGCAATGCAGCCCCATATCATCTAGAATCCAAAAAGGATTTAACTCTGGTTACAGAATAACTTATTGTAGGTTTTCTTGAGGTTTGGTTATATTGGAGAAAAATTATATTTTTAAGAAAGTGGTGCTATGTTAATCTAGTAGTAGTAATTTTTAAAAATATGTATCAGGCTTATGATAGTTACTGTTAAAAAGTTTGCACTTGTTATCCTTCCTTCAAAGTGCACTGTAACCCCAATTTTGGTTTTCTGTACTAGAAACTGAAACCAGGGAGCACTAAGCTACATTCCCAGGGTTTGTGTTTTGGTGAGAGATGGTCTCACTAAGTGGCCCAGGCTGGGCTTGAACTTAGGATCTGCATGCCTCACCCACCCAAGCTGAGGTTGCACGTGTGTGCCTCTGACTGGCAGATGTCTTTTTTTTAAAAAAACAGGAAACTCAACCTTGCTTTTTAACATATCTAAGTATAACCCTATCATCAGAATATTTTTCCTAATCACACAATTCCTTCTACTGCAACTTCTCATGACTTTTGAGAAATATACAACCTTCCCTGGTTTAAGTCATTACACTTATGCTAACCAAATGCAGATTTTCTCCCTCTCTGCAATTAGCTTAAGCTGCACTCTTGTGTTATCAAGCAGCCAAAAAGAAATCAATGAACAGGTGACCATCCTCTCGAACCACTTTATAAGCCTTGGTTCAAAACCTTAACAGTGTAGTTTGTGGAAAAGAATCTAAATCTGGGTCTCAGTACTAGACATTTGTTCCCCAACAAAATTCTCACCCAGTTAAACACACACAGACACACATTTAGTCAGTCAGATTCCAGGTTTAAAAAGTTTTAGTCCCAGAAGTGTCTAAAATGCCTTTAAGGGACAATACTTTATACAACCTTTAGCTCACTAACAGGTCACTCTTGAAGACCTCAGTGGCAACACTCTTAATTTATCTCTTTGGAGCTAATGCCCGCAGGCAACACACTTCTGAGAATAAGCTGTCACAAGTTTTCTTGTTCATCTTGTCTCCTGTATTGCACCCCCTTCACAGGGAAGGGAAAACAGTGACAGCGATTCCTACCTTCGTAAGTTCACCACTTCCACTCAGGCAGGAAAAGTAGTAGCCCAGTATCTGTTTGCAGGATGGGAGTTCGGAAACCTTACTGGTCAGATTTCCCTACAGTTCTTTCCACTCTGCCCAGTCCCTATTTGCAGAATACAAGTCATCTTCACTTACATAAACTTATCTCCCCTACTGCATAATTGTTACATATACAAAGAAGTTGTGGCTAAAGCGATGAAAACTCAGTATTCCAACTTACCAGGCTTTCTATTATAGTACTACCATTAGAGAAACTAAGGGGAAAGCAAATTCTTCTCCAGAATCACAGAAGGAGGGATGAAAGAATACACAGCATACCCTATAGTCTGGAGTTGTTCTATTTTCCAGATAAATTCTGTATTGCTCTTTTCCCTCCAAACCATTAACCCTTTTTACCTTTACAGACAAAACAAAAGCAATCTACACAGTTGCCCCAACTGAAGAAGCAATTCCAAGAGCTATGGAAAATGGCATCCATAAAGAGTACCACCCCCAAGCCTAGCCCTTTCAATGGCATGGATTCTGGCCAGATGGCAAGTCAATAAATCAGTACAGTAAACAACAGAGCAGCAAAAAGGAAACGAACACCAGGCTTTGGAGTCTTTGGCACTTCCAGAAAACCTTACTTTCAGCAAACCAATCGGCAGAATCATCAAGCTTTGGTCTGAAGGACAGGAAGGTGTTATCTAACCAGGAAGCCTCACTGATCCCAAGCTCAGGATTTGGTATTTGTTTCAAAAATAAAAGACTTGCTCAATGACTAATAAACTCTAAGAAGGCAAAAACTAAATCTGCCCTCTGTCCCTGGATCTCTATAAGAGTGCCTTGCAGGTTTATAAAAGTCACTAAACTTCTGAACTAATCAATAAACAGGAGTTTCATCCATTAGTCAAATACCCAAATGCCATTTCAAAGTCTTGTAACCCAAAAGAAAAATTAGCGGACTACAGACATTCTAAATAGCCCAGATCCTATTTTATTCAAATGACACCAAATATGCAAAAGTAGACACAACTAAATGCAAAGGCAATTAAACAAGATAGAAAACAGCTACTCTCAGCCCTAATGAAATGGTTCTGAATACCAAAGTACAGACAAGAAACAAGGCCAAGAAAACACACACTAACAATTTTATCATATCATCATGTATCAAATACTCCAAAATTTGGGAAAGTGCTACAAACTATTACCAGAGTAGTTTCCCAATTCAAATTCTCAAATTTCAAAACTTTTGTTAAACATTTTACACATCACTCACAAGTATTAAAAGAGTAACTAATGTTAAACACTTACTGCTGACCATGCCTAGATATTTGTAAATTTCCTACAATCATCATCAGATATAATTGAAACCACAAATCAACTTTATTAGGGAACCAGTCTAGGAATCGTGCAGGAATAACAAGTACTTTCATCACCAGGTCAAGAATCACCAATTGAGCTGGACATGGGAGCACACACCTGTAATCCCAGAAATCAGGACACTGAGGCAGGAGGTTCACCCAAGGCCAGCCTTAGGTACACAGTAAAAACATCTCCAAAAAAAAAACAAGAGCCAGGTAGAATGGCACATGCCTGTAATTCCAGTACTTTACAGGCTGAGGCAGGACTGTTCCAAGTTCAAGGCCAGCCTGAACTACATAGACTCGTCTCCCCCCCCCAAAAAAAAAAAAAAAAATCACCATTGGTGTCACCAATATCCTTTTGACTTTTTTTGCAGTAATGGGGATCAAACTCAAGACGTTATACTTTTGAGGCAGGTGGGTGTGGTACCACTGAGCTATAATCCCCGGGCCTCTCGATAATTTTTTTAAGGGCTACCACCTGTTTTTATAGATTATATCCCTGTGGGCATTACCTAAATTCTCTTAATACCCAAATGGCATCTGCTAGGAGACTTGGTTACCCACGAGATAATTTAACAAATCTCTTTAGCTTTAGACAAAAGTTAAAGATGGACTTGAGATGTATTAAAATGCCCTTATGGAACTACATGAAAGGAACATAAACAGAAAACAAAGGCTATATCATCATGCCTTGCAGAATCATCCTAAAGCTCTCCATAATATCAAGACCATGACTTCACAAGTCGTAGATCTAAGTATTGGTCTTAATTAAAACTTATTACCATTTTAGAACTTTTCTTCTACTAGTCTTTTCAAAGAAAATTTTACTCCCTCGCACATGTAAAATTCAAATCACATACTGCCCTGAATACACAGAGAGCCTGAGAGGGGAAAACTGCCTTGATACAAACTTCAGACTAACTTACACAACCTTCAGAGATTACAAATGAAAACTCTAGGTTCCACTAGATTTAATAAACCCAGTTCCCTCAAGTAAATAAACCAAGTATACTACAAACTCTTAGATTCAGCCTATTAAAAGGATCAGTACTGGGCCAGGGACTTAGCTCAGTGGTTCCGCTGCCTGCCTCACAAACACAAGGACCCAAGTTCAATCCCCAGTGCCCCCAAAAGAAATCAGTATTATTTCACTGTCCAAGTTCTAGTCTTGGAGGAAAAGGGCCTTCACATGAGAACATCTAATGTTTTAAACCTACTCCCCAAATAGATTCCCACTCCCTGACCCCACCACTTTGAGAAAGCCAAAAGCTAAATTTTTCTAATTCCATCTTCCTGAAAAGCTAGAAGAGGAAATAAGAGTACTACACAGTTCTGGTGTCCCTAGAATCAGACTTCTGAGATTCTAACATTTTATCACTTAACAATTCTTTTCAAAGTCCCTGAATTCCCTATAATACGGTAGTTACTATAGTTTTCAAGATTCAGTGAGTGTGCAGATAACCGCTTAAAAACGTCATTATACTAGTTTGATGTTAAACACATTACTGTGTTACCAAGTATTCAGTCTCACTTCAAAAACAAAGGACAAAGCGTGGTTTTTTTGATTCCTAGAATAAGCTCATTTTCCAAACTTAACAGGGCAGTTTGAAGACTTAGGTATACAGCTCTAACAACACCTGAATAAAGATGGATATAGGATCTCAAGCAGTTTGTATACTGCTTTCCCCTAAATACATATTGTCACATATACACCTAAGAACTAAAAGCAGCAGCATGTAAATCTCTCAGGCTTTTGTATTAATCAACTTTTATTAACTCAGACTACTCAAACTGTACTATAACAAGCAGGAAAGAAACAGATTTTATAACTTGCTTCCCAAACACGGTCCTTTTGATTCTTTAACTTGATGCCAACACAATAAAGTGAGATGATGAAAGGAAAGCATGGGAAGAACACACACATAAAGTCAACTGTCAGACAACTCTCAGTTGTCACCGTTTTTCACTGTTTTCAACTGTTCACTGACTTCTCAGCCTCTTCAACTAACCTGGAAATGTCAAAAATACAATCCTAGGATTATAGATGTGTTTTAAACATATGGAAGGAAATGGAAGTAGCAGTATAGGACTTCTTCAGACAAAAAGACAAAAAAGCAATTTTATAGTATTTTATTATCAATGACAAACAGCTGCTTTAATGTGTCTGTACTGCAGCTGTTAATGGGTGGGTGGGAGGACACCCTTAACCCTAACAAGAAAAACTCAAATTAAGCCTTTATATACAAGCAAATTTAGAGCTCTTTTAAGGGTCCAAAGCTATTAATTAGTTTAATTGAAGCATTAAACTAATACTAAATTAACATATTTGAATAACCAAGAACTAAAATGTTCAAAACTTTTTTCTAGTACAAAAAAATTAAATTTGCTTTAGTTATAAAAGAGCTCTGTCAATGTACACAAACTATATACTTCAGACATTCACAAAACTGTGAGCAGAAGGCTTATCAAAAGACATTTAATACAATTAGTTTTCAACACCCCTTGGTGGTCCACATCTACAAAGATATCCAGCCCAACCCCACCCCCCTCAAAACCCCACCCCCACAGAAAAGCACATACTTACCAGAATTTTTAGCAAGTATGGTTTGGGAATTTGTTTTTGTTTTTAAAAAAGGCCCCTAGGGCAAGTTATTTACAGTTTAATTGCCACTGTCAACTGATCTGGACCTGGACCTGGATCGGGACCTCTGGCGATCCACAGATGCTGGAGACTTAGATCTACTTGAAGAACCACGTTTCTGGCTCTTCTCAGGCACAGGAGACCTACTAACAGAACGTGACTTGCTCCGGCTCCGGCTCCGGCTTCTTGACCGGCTGTATGACTTGCGACTACGGGAACGAGATCGGCTACGAGACCTAGAGGAACTCCTGGTCCGTGATCGAGACCTGCTTCTTGACCTACTACGAAAAAGATGAATGGGGGGGGGTTAGCCTATATGACAGGCCATGTAAATCCAGTAAAACTTTTGACTTCAAAATGATATACCTGTGCCTTTTGCTGCCTTCGATTAATTTGATTTTTCTCCCATTTATTTCCTTTCCAGAAAGTTTTTCAATAGCATTCTTTAAGTCACCATAAGAGGCAAACTCAACCACCCTAAAATGAAAACAGTCGTTTTAAAAGCACATATATCCCATGACCTCACACACTGTACATAGCAGTCTCAATTAGAAAGTAGTTGGCTCCGATCATTTTGCTATTGGTATTTTAAATCTTATTTCCAATGTACAATACAGTGCAGCAAGATTCTGACACAGCTGACATTTTGAGCCATGCATGAGTTCTATGCAGCACTGTGGGATGTTTAGCAGAACACTTGGCCTCTACCCACTGGATGTCAGCAGTACTAACAATCACTTGACAAGAAAACTAGTCTCTAGATGATGTGCCAAATGTCCTCAGGGAAGCGAAACAGTCCTTGATGAACCATCTCTAGTCAAGCATCTGCAAATTTTATGTCCTCAGAAATGTTCACAATAAAATTTTCAGGTGATCTCAAAAGGTTTTCACAACTTCCAGTATACTCACCCTTCATTTAATTTAGGTCGATGTGCATCGGCAAAGGTTACTTCCCCAGCTTGTCTCATGAAATCTTTGAGATCCTTAACACAAGACAATTGTGTCAAGCAGGGAAGAGGAAAAGGTGACACACAAACAATTACATGGTATAAAAAACAAGACTACTGAAAGAGAAGTTGTTAGATAAAGTACAAACATGGCATATACCACACTTGTATTCTATCAGAATTCAAAAATTGTATCAGGGCACGAAATAAGCAAATAGCATATTGCTTTTAAGCAAAATGCTAGAGGAAATAGAGACTTTTAACATTAAAGTAGTATTAGTCTATACTGAGCTCAGTACAAAAGAAAAAAAAAACGAACAAAAAAACAAAACAAAAGGAAACAGTACATATTTTTAAAGGACTAAAGTAGAAGTTTTATATTTAAAAAAACAGAACATTTACAAGACACCAGTTATTTTGTGCCCCAGATGTCATTAAAAAAATTTACATTACCTTTATTAATATTTCCCTAGGCTAGTCAAGCAGCAAACCATTAATCGGTCGGAGAAACCTTCATGACAAATGCCCGACTGGCTCTTCGCCACCCACTTGATGGACACTACCCAATCGATGGAAGCCTTTCATCGCACAGCCCTCCCTATTAGCAGACTACTGGCGATGCAGACATGTTCTACTCTTGTGCAGTTACCAAGGACCACTTTACTGCGATCAGGATTCCAACGACCAACTAATTTCGTATCTTTTCAACTCTTTCGACCAGGACCTCTTATTCGGAAGCGTTACAGAAGACAGCTCTCAACTTAGGGATCAGATCACGTTATCAAGGCTCTGGGATCGCTGCAACCCGGCACTTCAAGTTAAGTGCACCGATTACGTCTAGACCGGCAAACACAGA